TTCATAACTTTTCATAATCTGTAAATTGTTTTAATGTGTCTATAGCACATAGACAGGTTAAAAAGAATCTGCTCATCCTGCCTAGTTGGAGCCTCTCTATACGCAGACAGTGGGACATGGAAAAAAATCGGATCGGACGTTAAAAAGTCGCAGTAACCGGTGTGTTCAGGCCTTTAAACACAGTAAACCTAAACTGAGGAAAGAATGTTGAACAATAATAGAGTCAGTAGATGAATTGGTGTCACCCACCTTGTAGCAGAAGGCAAATATGCCGTCTACCTGCCAATCATCCCCATCAGGACACAGAGTGTCTGACTTCAGCACCACGTCTTGGAGGTGCTCCATCATAGCCTCGATCAGGGAGGGCAGAGCTTCCCCCTGCAGGGTCTTCAGGAAGGTTTGGTGGAGGTTTTCTGTGGTGTGACCATGACGAGGGTCAAAGCTGTCATGACCAAATGCCTGCAGATAAAAGATGGCGGAGCGTTATTGAATCTCCTCTCGCTTTGAGACATTTTCTTTTTACTGCATCATATAAATAAGCATCTTCCACCTTAACAGACGTAGCAAAATGAAACTTTGTCCAGTCAAGGTGTCGTCCTTGTCTGATGACTGAATGGTAGGAGAAGGGATCGCACAGGAAGTGGATATACTGGCCTGCTATCTTGCAGGTGAAAATGTGACCGTACTTCTTCTGGCGGCTGCGAAGGAACTGAAGAGGGTTTGCACCAAACTGCAAAGCACAGCCCAGGTAGGGAATTAAACCGTTTTCAATTGCAGGTTCGCCAGTTTGCCTGCAGGAAAACAGAAAAAACAAATAGGAATGAATTTTAAATATTGTGTTCCTTATTTGCGATTTAAATTGTGCACATTTGCATTCTATATTTCTCTAGGTGTGAATTCCCATTAAAGCCAAATCTTCACTGCGGTAGAAATAGTTCATATTAAGGTAAATAAAACACCCATGGGAACTGTAGTAAAAGCCAACATTGTTTAGGATATTAATATATCAAAATATATTAAAAGTACTTTACTTTAAAATTATTATTTTATTATATTTATCCATTTGTCAGGAACAGGGTTAATTAATATTCCTTATTATTATTATTATTATTCAAAGTCAGATTTAAAACCCATCTGTTCCAGCTCGCTTATCTGTGAATACATAACTTTTATGTTCCTGTATTTGTATTTTAGTATTTTCATCTTTGTTTTTTTTTGTTTTTTTTTTCTGTGAAGTGTCCAGAAAGGCGCCGTTAAATAAAATGTATTATTATTATTATTATTATTATTATTTCTGCAAATACAGCAGATTCAGCCAAGAGGCTATTTTCCATCTGTTGTCCGTCGACAGATCTTAAAGTTTTCAACCTAAAGACACAACAGTGAGAATTTCACTGTGAAAAATACAAATATTAAAACATATAAAACAACTCTTCAAATATTGTGAAGGAATACAGAGTTGGCATAATATCGATTTTAGCTTAATAAAAATAAATAAAACATTAAAATAAAGAGATGTATCAGTTTGGGGAAAAAAACAACATGATCTGACGGCTCAGGGAGTCTGACGACGCAAATGTGTTTAAGATACAATGATCTGATGTCAGAGATTTTGTTTTTTTAAACCAAACTCAACAACACCTTGATGACTCATCACCTTACGACAGCTGTCACCATGACAACCAAATAAAGTCAATTAGAGCTCAATGAGCTCGACTCTCTGACACCCTGAGCCAAAGAAATCTTTAAATCAGCCAAACGCTGATGGTGCAGAGCGGCGGTTCCTGCGCAGAAGCAGCAAATCATTTCAACAGAATCCCAGTAATGAGACGGGAATGTAAAAAATCTCATCTACAGAGAAGAGATGCTGTATCTCAGAGGGATGCAGCACTAATAATTACTTTATCATTGTTTTTACTTTAAAGAACAATAGCATAATTACACCAAAATGCATATATTAATAATAGAGTTTTTTATAGATGTGATAAAAACTTTCTGCAGGTTTTGTGCATCTGATGGGTGCAGCCTTACCTGTGTCTGATTCCCAGTGCAAGCCACAGTAGGCAGCAGAATCCAACCACCACTCCCCAGATCAAAGCAATGCTGATCATCATTGTGATGCTGCAGCAAAGGTGAGAAACGATAAAGAGGACAGGAAGGAGATCCGGATCAGAAAGTGATGTTTTTTCTTATCACTGCTCCGGTGAAAACATGAAGGTTTCTTTGATGAAAGCTGATGGACTCCAAAAGCAGAAGAATCGTCCGACTAAAGCAGAGAAGGTTTGGTTTGAACTCCTGTCAGAACTGAGCCATGAGTCAGTTGTGCTGAAACAGGCGGCGAGTTGCAGCTTTTATGTCCCTCCTCCTCCTCCGTATGGGAGGGTCGAGAGGAGGGGGAAGTTCATAACCGGTGTATCATTAGCCGCTGCATATTTCAAAAACAACATTAAGTCAAACTGATTTCATTTTTTTTATTATTTATTTCTGACAGATTTGAACCATTTGGTATTTCTGGGATTAATATTAATATGATCATTAACATGTGAATGATTTCCAGTTAATAAAGTATTTTATTTAATCTGTAGAGTTTAAAGTTTTGCGTTTTAAAGCTTTTATTGGATGCAGTGAAATGAAGCTACCTGTTATCTGACTTGGATCTGTCTAGGAACTGGAATTCCATGGATGGCGTGCGTAAGGGCGATGGCCTTGACCAGAGTCCATGGACAGCGTTACTGAGAGATAGGGCATCAGGGTTAGTAAATAGATTCAAGGTCTCACCTGCGCTTCTGTTGGGTTTAAGCAAGAGCGAGCGGCGAGCTGAGTGCGATCCGTTAAAACAGGTCGGAGTGGAAAAGAAAACCAGTTTTTCAAGATAAACCATTAACACTGTGAAAAGAAGGACTGCAATTCTGTACAGTTTGCAAAACAAAAGCAGTAAAACCTGAACTGGAGCGTTCCTCCAACTCCTCAACTGTTCAATCTGTCTTCCTTACTGTCATTATTATTATTTTAATCTAGATTAATCTCACTGTAATCTGGGAATTCATATATGTCTAGATTAAATTTCGTTTTTTATTTATTCACAGGATGCACATGTTTGAGTGGTAACTAGGGGATTCTGTCTCCTTGAACCCCAGTGGGCCTCAGCAGATGGCCGCTCACACTGA